AGATGGCAATTTGGAACTCACTTTCTCGATTTGAGTCTGATGATTATCCCTTGAATTTGACTAGTGTTTATTCCAATTTTTGTTAAGAGTGTTTGTTCAGATTTTTTAAGTGATTTTAGAATAATTAAATCCTTACATTTAAAGTAAAAAGACAACCCCCTGTGCTGTGACCCTGGTGTGTGACCAAAAAATGGACTTGGAAGACTGATGGATTTCTTGATAAGGAACTAGGTACAATATAAAAAAAAAAAGTTTCCTATAGTTTTTGTAAGTTCTTTGCAGGGAGTTATGAAGAAACTACATAAAATAAAATGTAAAGTGGTGTTGCTGCATTAGAAAAAATCTTAGGTATGCTGCCAGTAGAGGGAAAATCAGTTTATGGATTAAAAATATCTCAAGTTTTTTCAGCTTTCACTCCACCTGGCATGCCTTTTGATGTGTAAAGCCATCTGTTTGGGAGTGTTTGACATACTTTTTTTTTTCTCCTTCTCTGTGTTTCAGCAGTATTTCTGGTTATGTGACAGCACATATGGGCCAGCTAATAGCTTGTTTTAAGTTTCTTACAATGAATAGTAACAGCTAAGCAACACTTTTTTGATGCCTTTGAAACTAATAATATGCTGTTGGACTTGTGCTTAAAGTATTTCTCTTCCTGTTTTAGTAGGAAAAAAATGTAAGGCGAATGAGGGTGATTTATATCATCGTTGTTGCTTCACATCACAGATCTGCGAACGCTTTTATATGGCTCTGACAGTGAAAGAAGTAGTTGGATTGAAGGGTTGTACAGTGATACAAGGAACAGGATTGTACAATTGCTCGTTTATTATATTTTCGTTAGATTACTTTTAAACTGGTCGTTTCCTGGTAGGAGTGTGAGGGCAGAAATAGGCATGGATTTTGACTGGGTGGAAAGCCAGGTGGTCCTTTTGACATCAGCTGTAACTGATAGTCTCTCAAAATGTTTCTGGAGATGTTAGAATGGGAAGCTGACCTCCTAGATAAACTGTTATCCTTGCTTGCTATCCCATAGTTGTTGTCATAATCCTATATACATGGACAAGCATTTGAGGACTGCAGACTTTAAAGAATGTCAAAACTGGGATATATGTAGATGAACAGATATCTGTGCTGGAGCCCTGTCACTGCATGGTTATTAGCATTCAGATTCTGGAAAAAGTGGACATTTGTTTTCACTCTGATGGCTGAAAAAATACGAATAGTGTGTTTTCCCCTATGGACTAACTATCTGGGAATATCAGTAGCATCTTGAAAATGAATCTGAAAGCTATTAAGGTTTCCGAAGAAACTGGGAAAACTGGAGGAATTACAACAAAAATCGAAAACTGATATGGTGAGACCAAGGACTTTATACAGCTAGACATAATGCTTGTAAATTAGCCCGAAAATCAGTTAAAGTGATTGAGCTCAAAATGTCAAATGTTGGAGGTTGCAGCTTTTAGGGGCTGGGGGACTCTTCTAGGTTGGTTTGGCTGGAATCTAGTAATAGACAAAATGCAGAAACAACAAACAACTTTGTAAATAAACTAAAATATATCACTGTGTGAGAGTAAAATATACCTGACTGATTAAGGAGGGGACTTAAATCTTTTCTTTTACTGTGTGTACATCTTTGATTTTGAAGGACGAGTGTAATTTGATAGTAAAATGTGGAAACAGCGTTACTTCTGTTTCTTTTTGAAAAGACTCTGGGATACTGAACAATGTATTTTTAAAATAATCTGAGGTGGTAACAGTGTTCTGTTTTTTAAAACAGTTTTTTTTAATGTCTTTTATTATGTGAAAAAGTAGCACTATAAAAGCACATAAAATAATAGGTTCGTGTAACATTAGCAAATATAAATAGGTTTTCAGCCCACACTGACAAATGTCTATCTTCATTTAAGATTTAAATATCTACATTAGATTGACTGCCTTCCATGCAGATATCTGCATGTCATTATGCATATGGTCTTTATATGCTGGGGGTATTTAAAGACTGACAGCTATTTTAACTTTCTCCAATTGCAGTTTTGATTTCAGTTGTTAAGGTATTTCAGTTTCCAGGTATTTGACAGCAAGAATCATTGATTTCGTTATGACGGGCAAGGAATCTGTTTCGTTTTTAAAATTCACTATTAGTTCCCTTTTTTTTTTTTTTATATATATGTGTATTTTTTATATATATACACGCATGTCTATATATATACATTTATTAAAATACACATTTTCATGCTTTCTAGGTAAATGATAACCTGAACCTTGACCTGTCAGACGATGAAGAGCTGAGAGAACAGTTGGATATGCATTCCATCATTGTTTCCTGCATCAATGACGAACCGCTCAAAAAACAGGTAAAGTGTTCAGCCAAAGACAGCATTGTTGTTGTATTATTTTCTTTTAGTCTGGAATTATTTTTGGTTGTTCTTCCTTGCTGTTCACCATAGCTAAGCTTCTCGATTGTTCTTTATTTGGGGTTGTAATAATGCGTGAGATATTACTAGTCATTCAGATTTGCAAAGTATTCCAGTACTTCAGGTGAGGTTGATAGTCTAGAGTCTTTGAAATCTTGATACATTCTTTATGATGAATTAGTCAGAAATACTGCTAAATTAAATGTATGTGTTAAGAAGCAAAAGTATTTCAGAATGTTGGAGGTATTGTAGAGTATGTAGTTTTCCAGCATGACTATATTGCCATTCATATCCTCACATGGCTTTGTGGTTAGCAAGAATTCTTTGAAGTTTTTGCATAATATGAGAGCAGATCAACAGTTCTGCTACGAAGCTTTCAAATTACTTTGTGTCTGAAGGCTTCTGTTCCAAATCCATGGATTTACTAAAGTTATCTTGAAAATTGCTCTTCTGAGTAACGTTAATGACTGTCCATTAAGATCCTGCTTTAGTAAGCAAACACAAGAATGTATTTTCTTGTTGTTTAAATGGTTACCTGTGAACTCTGATGAACATGGTTATTAAGAGCATGAAAGACAGTATCATTTGATCTGCCTCAGCTCTTTTTTACTGAGATGGATCTCAGCAATGTCTAGAGCCTTTAAACCTGCAAATGTTGATGTGTTACTTACTCAGCTGTTCAGTTAATAATTTAGCCTGTAGAAATATGATCATTTCTGTACTGAAAAGTAACCTCTTTATGCACAGGATTTCTGTTCTCATACTTTCTGGCTGAGATCTTTTGTGAAGGGATACGAGTCAGCTTCAGGTTATGATGGATCAGATCATAAAACTTCTCATAAGCACAGCAGATTTTCAGTTCTTTCAGAGCTTTTTTTATTTTATTTTGCTTAGAGAAATGTAGTAAAATGGGAGGGAGGTAGTTGTTTTTTGTTGTTGTTTTGTTTTCCTTCAACTGAATACTTGGGAAAGATACTCCAGCTCACTCTTTAGTTCACTTCTCTTAAGCAGAACCATGTGTACCTTCATGTCGAAATAACTGTAGTTTCAACACACTGCTTGCTATGAGGTCACCAATTTACTTGAAAGGGTAGACTTATTCCCAGAGAACAAGGATGGGGAGGAAGTGTCGCTATGATTTTGTTGATTCTTCTCAATCCAGTCTTGGTATTAGTTTTGTCCAGTAGCATCTTCACTAACTGAAAGTAAAAAAACCCACAACCTTAAGCTCTTAACAGCTTTGCTTCAAACTGCAGGCTGTTTCTCTTTGTGCAGGAAGGGTTTTCATAACGGTTTTCATTTTTTGAAGGTGATTGAAGAAATAGAGGAAATGATGCAAGAATCACCTGATCCAGAAGACGATGAAACACCCACCCAATCAGATCGACTTTCCATACTTTCTCAGGAAATTCAGACACTCAAGAGATCCAGTACGAACAACAGCTATGAAGAGAGTAAGTGATATGTATTTAGTATTTCGCTCTTAGGCTTACTGAAAATAATTTAAAGGGTAAGTTTGCCATGTGTCTGATTTATAACAAGCCCTTCTTGTGAAGTATCTGCATTCAAAAATATTTTCAAAATGCCCTGAAAGAGTAAACTAGATTTAGAACATAAATAGAAGACTTATCTTTGTCAGCTTTCATAACTTAGAATAAAAATAAAACTTTTAAGAATTTCAAATTAAAGCAAATATGCTGAAGCTTGATTCGCTGGACTGAGGTCCAAGCTTGATTCACTGGAATGAGGTCCCTTTGTAGGTGAAATTATAATATAGAAACTAATAAAGTGTAATAAAAATGATCGATTTATAAACTGAGATGCTTTCTTGAGGCCAGTACATTGTCTTTAAGAAGATTAGCTAAAGCTTTTGAAAGCTATGCAGTAGATAATGAAAGTGGTGTTTCTTTGGTACTGTTTCAGCCACTACAACACATCTTGATATACAGTTATGCAAAGATAAGGAAACCATTGCGCTTTTCTCTTGTAAGGACTTTGCATATTTTTCTCTCCTCTCCTTCCATTCCTCTTCAGAAAGCTTAGAAGTTAAAAAAACCCCTTTATATCTTCTTCTACTCAAATGACATCATCTGTTCATCCCTATATAAAAGGAAAGGAGAGATTACATGTATAGTTTAGTAAGTTGAATTGTATGTAAACCAACCTGTGATTAATCAGTTTCATGATGGAAATCTGTTTCATCTATGTATTTGTTGAAATCAATTCTAGAAGATGATAGGAAGATAGAGTATTTGCTAGATGATCCTTCTACTTTGGTCTCTCCTGTGGTTTGGTGCTTTCTTTTCTGTAGGCTGGGTCAGCCATATAAATGCTGTAGAAGATTCAGAAAACTGGGTGACCTTTTGTGACATAACTTACAGTTTCTGCTGCACTTCAGATTTATGGAGGAGATTCTATTTTCATGGTTGGACTCCTAGCTGTCTCAACATATAAATTTCAGGAACGAGAAAGCAAAGTGTATCCTCCTCAGCACTCAGCAGGGCTTCCTGCTTTTTTGACAGTTCCATATGTCCTTAGGTTTGGAGCTAATCAAGCTTACTTGATATTTCATATCACATTTATTTTGCTTTGCCTCAGGCGTTCAGCTTGTCTATTGCATCTTTATGGTTTAAAGGTCAGCCTTGACCAAATGATGCCTTGGGATACTTTGGCAGATAATTTAACTGCTTCACCAGTTTCTCAGAATCTGACTTCGTGTCTTTCAGGTCACTATTTTATGAAAAGCTCTAGCTACCTTTTTTTTGTGTGCAAAGCTGCTTCAGAATTATTCTGCATCTCTCTGAAATTGTTGCAGGGTTTTCCTAGAAACTGTCTGGCTCTTATAGGACAAGTCAGAGGTGTTAATGTTTGAATGAGATTGAGAGCAGGAAATCAAAGCTTGTATTTACTTATTTCTTGGATAGGAAAATACATGTATTAAGATGGTCCAAAAATAAAACCAGTTACAGCTCTGGTTACACAGGTGAGTCCTTTAGCCTACATATCTAAGATTTAATCCAAGTAGACTTCTGCATTTGATTTACTCTTGTCTTATATCTTATTGGATATAAGGAAGAAATGTTTCACTC